ACACACATGGAGACGAATTGACACGGTACACACGCACATACTCGTACACCCACACTCGTGCACACAAACACGCGACAACAACAACAATCACCGTTCGCTGTGACGTCACCACGGCGCTTGTGTCACGCTCGGTGCACAATCACAGACACACACACATTAATATAATCACCCCACCTCCACCCCACAAAACACAGACACACACAAAGACACAAACACGCACAAATATGTCAAACTGATTGCGTCCACAAACCGCTCACGAGATCTGCTCGTTTCAGCTCAGAGGGTATAGCAACCGTCATCGGCATCAGCAACAACATCGGCATCAACAACATGGACATCAACAACATCAACAACAGCATAGACATCAACAACAACAACAGCAACAACATGGACAACTTGATGAGCGAACTTACACGTTCAGCAGAGCCCAGGGGAGTTGCTCTTCTCGATTCGTATCGACACTAGGCAGGTTTTCATCGATCCAAACGAAGCGAATCGAACACACGCACGCGGGGCGCGCACAACACACCGACGACGTCACAATAAGCGCGTGCGTGCGCATGCGCGTGCGCGCGCGCCGACGATGACGTCACAATAAGCGCGTGCGTGCGCATGCGCGCGCGCGCCGACGATGACGTCACAACGAGCGCGTGCGCGCGCAGCCGCGCGTCTCCACGGCGTTCTTCCACATCCCGCGTGTCGCGTCGCGGAGAGTCCGAGTTGAGTCCGTCACGCCGTGGGCCGCGCTGTGTTGCAAAAAGTCGCGCCGCTGCCGTGAGTTGCGCCTTTCCCCCCACACCCCCCCCCCCTCCTTGAGTCCTCTCCCCAAAAGTCGTCGTCTCCCCTCCGCCCCTCCCGAGTTGACGCTTTAGGTCGCGTGTTATGTTGCGTTTGTCGGCGGTCGAGTCGCGACAAGTCGCCCCGAGTTGCCGCCCCAACTCGCCCTCCCTGCCACGCCTGTAATCCCCCCCCTCCCCCCACCCCCGCCCCGTTCCCCACAAAGTTGCGGCAAGTTGCTCGTCTTCGTGTTGTTGCGCGGTGATTAAGTGCGTGTTGCCGAGCTTTACGAGGTTTAGAGTCGGAAGAGTTTGAATTCCACCCCCCCCCCCCCCCCCCCCACCGATGCTACCACTGAGCCTTTTCGCAGGCGCGAGCGTGACGTCACAGCGACCTCGCCGTGACGTCGCCGCGACGTCACAAAGAGGGCGTCGAAGCGAGGCGTCGTTTTAAGCTTCCTCCCTCCGCCGACGACGGTGAGGGCTGGAGGTCGCGTTTTCGCTGCCGAGTTGACTCTGTCGACGGAATGTTACCGCCGCACAAGCTCAAGCCGACTTTACTACGTCGGGGGTCGGTAACGGCGGCGGTTAAACTTAACTTTGCGATGCCCGGCCACGTGGACACAAGGCAGCGCGTGTGAAAACGCCAAGTGCCGCATTCGTTCGGGGGAATAACCAGAAAACCAGTGATGGACCAGAGATCCCTTCGACTCAGTTCCTACTGGGGGTGTGTCGACTCGGAACTGATATTCCTTTCTACACCCTGCCCTCAGAACGACCCCCCCCCCCCCCGTGCCCCCGCCCCCTTGCCACCCCCCACCCCCCTGCCCAGCACCACCCCCAACCCCATTCCTTCCTGTGACTCTCAAACTACCGCTCAGTATTTTCTCACACAAAACAGACAGATGGATCGTTTATTGTTTCACGCAGATGAGAACCCATCGATACACAGGCATCTTTTTTTTTCCACTGGCACATTCAAGCCACGCTTGCACCGTGCACAGCCAGCCCAGTGCGGCTCAGGAAGCGCCAAGTTGTCTTTTTTCCACTGCAGAAGCCGAGCCGCGCCGCTACTAACGTGACATACAATGCACGAGGCGAGATGCGTTGTGTCCTCACGGCGTTACTGGCTGCCGGCACAAGCAACAGACGCATCATTGGCCACGCCCATGGCTCTGCTTGGACTCGAGTCCAATTCAGGCGCATCCTTAGTGAGGCCAGCGTAGATCGGCAAATATCCAGTGAAAAACCACCCGCACTGTGAGGGCCCTGGCTCGGCTCGGATGTGCCAGTGGAAATGAGGAACACCGAGATAGTTTTCAAGGGAGATGTGGGACATGCACAGGCAAATGCAGGGATGAATACAATTGTCAAAGACGTTGAATTCGATGAAAAACATCCTAAAGTGAGATTCAAAATAAAAACACCCCCACCCCACCACCTCCCTCGACTGTTAACAAATCTGCCGATTGTCATTCGGGGTGTAACGATGCAATGAGACTCCAAAAATTTGACAAAAAATAATCGCTTATAGAATTTTATTTGCTGACATTAATCGAATCACTTGGGGGCGTTAATTGTTACACACAGAATTGTTTAAATTATAATGCCGATTGTTTCCGTATTCTCCCGATTATAAGACGCACTATTTCCACCCCCTCCTCCCACCCCCTGATCACGAGACCCAGTGTGCAGGTGGTGGTGGAGTAGGTGGAGGTGGTGGAGAGGTGAGCTGGAATTGACATGACCTGGTCCTGGATTTGAACTTATTCGATCAATAACCCTTAACATTTGCCACTTGCACGATCTCAGTCCTAAGACAGTATTCTGACACGTCATTATTACCGTGCATATTTAAAAACAAACCCATTAAAACGATCACGAACACAATCGCGTGCTCGCGAACACACACCGCTGATCGATCTCACGCATTGTCCCCCGCTCTGAGTGGTGTTGAGTTGACATCCCGTTTAGGGACCCCCACGAGGGGGGTGGAGGCGGGGGGGGAGAGCGGAGGGCATTTGCGAGCAGAACAAACACAGGGGCGTGGTGTTTGCCGGATGGAGACAGCGAGACGCGGGGGGGGGGGGGGTGTGCACGATAGTGATTCTTGCGTCAATGAGCGCGTTGCGAGAATCGGTCAACGTACGCCGAGGTTTCAATAAGGTGCAACTTTGTCGCGGGCAACTTGCGGATCGACGGACATCGCAAACGTTGGGCCCAACGTTGAGCAAACGTTGGGCACAACGTCCCACGTTTACTTGACTCGTCCATTCGTGCAACCGAGCCGCGCCAGGCTGGCCCGTGCCCGAGCCCGTGCCCAAGCCCGTGCCCAAACCCGTGCCGAGCCGTTGCAACAAAATTGCGCGCGGGTCCCAGACGCAAATGGAACCTTCGTTCCGCGGACGCGAACGAAACAAAGTTGCACCGCTCGAGTTCGGATTTCAAGTTGCCGGGAATCGTTTCGGTTGCGTCAGAGTTGCGTGCGACCCCAGTGGACAGGCAAGGTCTGAGCTTGACTCTGGGTGCAGGCAGAGGCAGTGACCTATGACCTATGCAGTTCGTGGGCAGCCAAAGCCAGAGCAGGGTGCATCCCACCTGTGGGTGCCACCTGAGGTGTGGCATGAATTTAGCGGTTCCGATGCCTTTATGTGGTCAACGACGGGTGAATTATGTGATGGCCACTTGAAATTAGTGGGGTTGTCAAATAATTCGCTCCCTATTGTCCAAATAAATAAATGGGCAAGACGAACGCTTTTTTTTCTACCTTAGGTGGTACCCATTTCTGCTCTGGCCGATGGACTAAAGTGGTGAGTGGCTGACAGTTTGATGAGCAACATGATGATGATGATGATAATAACAAGAGTTGTTGTTGTTGTTCGAGTGAAAATGTAAAAGTCAAGGCGTCTGGCCTGCTCAATTCGAGTAGTGGGACGTCCAGATCCACATTCCCACGGCGGTGCCCAGTTCATCCAAATGTTCACCACTTGTTGAATGGTCACAAAGTGGTACGAATTCATTTTGGCCACGTCGGAGATAAGATTATGATGGAGATGATAATGGGGACGGTGGTGATGGCGATGACGGTGATGATGGTAATGTTAATTATGATGGAAATGATGGTGACGATGATGATGATACATCATCTCCCTTGTCAACAAAACAACTACAACAATAAACATTCCATTACCGCAACCACCACCACCACGACCCTGCTATCTCTCACCCTGGACTCAAACCCACTCCTCTTATGCTGCAGACGAACTCGCCATGCAACCTCCTTGTCTGCCCGTAAACGAAGATGGTCAACACTTGAACGACGAGGTTACGCAACCTGGTTGCATGCAACGCAATCGCGTACATACGTGTGTTGGGACGTCTCTGCAACCAGTTGCGCAATCAGTTGCGTGCAACCAATTCACACGCGCGGAAGTCTCTGCAACCAATTGCAGGCAATTGCGCTACCAGATGCATGCAAGGGAATCACTTTCGTGTGGAATTCTCTGCGACCCGTTGCGAGCAGTTGCGCAACCAGTTGCATGGGTTAGTGTTAGAGGGGTAGAGTCAAATAGTCGACTTTAAAGAAAAAATGGAATCGAATTTTATTGACTTACATTCCTGGTCGGAACGATGTTTTAACCGCCCGTACGCGTGGGGGATGATTGGTTTTCGCGCGAGGACTTTTTTCCGACAAAGTCTTAAGAATGAGGCTTTACTCCAGAAGCTTCATTGACTCGGATCTTGGTTAGTGTAGTTATTGATTACGACATTGATGATGATGATGATTAATTAATTAATTAACAGGGCTTAATTTCGCGGTGGGGGGGGGAGAGCGGTTCAGGGAGCAGAGCAAAGCGGAATGATTCGCGAGTTCAAATCCCGGTTGTTGCGGGTTCACTCAGCCCATCATTCTGCCGGGGCCGATAAAATAGGCACCACCTTTGTGGGGATGATCAACGGTGGATTGCCCTCTTGAGAGGCTCCCCCTCCCCGGCATAGTAATGTGGAATTTCCTCCACTGACTTGTTTGAGCAAGAAATAGTAACTCTCATAACCACGCCGCCCACCCCATCCACGACATGGGGGGGGGGGGGGGGGAGAGGGGGGAGTACTTTCTAGAGCTCAGCCCTGGACAGCTCCAGCTCGACATTAAGCCCTGGTGGTTAATCTACAGCGGTAGGGAAGAAGTGTGATCGGGTTTCGCTTCCGTCTTTCTCCGCACAGCGCTGCATGCATGAGCTGGGTTCGACACCAGTTGCCCGTGCGAAGAACAAAACCTGTACATAGCCCCGCACCCCCCATCTAACCCCACCGTACCCCGCCCCCTGAACCCCCTAAATTCCCCGCCACCCCTCCCCCTTTAATCTCCCCCCCACCTAACCCGCCCCCAATTTCCCCATTCAATTCACTGCGTCCGTGTGATGTCAATGCATGTTAATTTTACGAATTGAACGATGGGTGTTTAACTTTTTACGTCGAATTTAAGTTCCTTGTTCCGTCGTATTGAACTGAGAGAACAGCACACACACACGCACGCGCATACACAATGCGTTCAATAAATATGATCAAAATATCAAATACATATATATCAAATCGGTGATAGAAAACATATGAAGCGTTCAACCTGAAACCGAGATGACGCCGGTGAACGCGGCGACGCAAGCGTGGCAAGAGGAGTAATTGAATTGCTAAGTTGGCGAATTAATTAATTACGAGATCAGCAGTTGATTGAGTTTAATTTATTTTTGTCTCCCCGATGAGTAGAAATGTCACCGCAGTGGGGGTCGATACCTCCGCCTTAGCCTCCTCTCTCTCTCTCTCGGCTCCCTCGTTATCCATCACCCCTTTGGCATCACACCACCCAAACCTTGACGCCCCTTTTGCCTGACAGACAACAGTCGACCCTTGTGATTGGTGGGGGGGGGGGGCGTTAATTCGTTCACCGATTTGACCGTTTCACGTGAACCACGGTTGCTGAACACACAAAGACAAAGATCCCCCCCCCCCAGCCCCCTGTCGCCTTGACAAACTGTTAGTGGCAAGCGCTGTTAGCGAGTAGCACTGAGGGGGCTGGGTGGCCTGCACCACGCCCGTCAAGCACAAAGACAAAGCCCCCCCCCCCCCCCTATAGCCTTAACAGACTGTTGGGCCAAGTGCTGTTTAGCGAGCACACACACACACGCACGCACAGCCAACAGGCCCAAAGAGCCAAGCGCCCAGCAACAACCAGCACCTCCCAACAATAATAATAATAACGGCAGCTACATTCGCTCCTGTTTGGGGAAAACTGACATCCAGATGCAATCACGAGGCCACATGTCCATCGTAATGAGAGGGTTTATTTAGACTGCAGGAGGAACCCGATGAGATATGAAGCTCTTTAACGCAGATGTCCAGTAGGGCGGCTCAGCGAGTTCCACGAGGAAGCAACAGAAAGACACGGCAGGAGCGCAGAATAGAGAGAGGGTAAGCACGTGACTCAAACAAATTTATAGTTTAAGTAAAAAGTACATTTTGCAAAAATCCCTGCCGATGTAGGGATGTATGCTTCTGTCGGTATTAAATCGATACGAGTCGACCACCACTTGCCTTTGGCATTGAACGAGAACATAAAATCTTTGTACCCGTAGCACCACCACCACCAGCAGCAACAGCAGCACGACGGGAAGGGGAGGAGAGTCAAGGATGCGATGGGTGGGACAAAGAGCAAGGGGGGGGGCGGGAGAGAGAAGAGAATGGGGAGGATGAGAAGGATGGAGGAGGAGGAGTGGAGAAACGCGAGCGAAGGGGTCAGGGGAGGTGAGGAGAGGGAGGAGAGAGGGGGGAGAGGCGACACCAGGGCATGGACGCTGCTGCTGCTGCTACACGGACGGAGGAGGCGGCGTCTGTTTTCACAGTGGGCGGGCGGCGCGGGGAGGGGTTCAGAATGGGCGTGGCCACACACAGAAGCCACGTGGTTTGCGGGAGGCTTGAGCCGATTTAGATGATGAGATTATAATAAGAGCTTGCGAGAGCGAGACGATGATGATGGGAGGAGGGAATTCCAAAGTGGAGCAGTGTAAGGGAAGAAGCGGAGAGAGAGACGTGAGGTGAGCTGCCGTGCCGTGGTGGTGGTGGTGTAGCGGGTAGTGTAGCGGGTAGTGTAGCGGGTAGTGTAGCGGGTAGTGTAGCGGGTAGTGTAGCGGGTAGTGTAGCGGGTAGTGTAGCGGGTAGTGTAGCGGGTAGTGTAGCGGGTAGCGCACTGCGCTACGAACCCGGAGACCACAGGTTCGATTCCCGCTCACGGCCAACACCCGTGACGATTATTTGAATCGGTCATGGGCCTCGCTAAGGTCGACTCGGCCTCAAATTAGTGTATGGTGCGGTGTGTGGAACACCACTTGCCCCAACAGTTTATGAAGGCTACACACGGGCGATCTTTTATCTTTGTTTGTGGTTGAGTCGCCGTGCGGTGGGTGGCACGGAACAGTCAGTGTCTGGTGGAGACCGAGTCCTCAACACGGACGGTGGAGGAATCGGCGAGGGGAGTTCACGGCAAGAGTCACCGTGGCAGTCGTAGCGATAGAAGTGTGATGAGGAGGCGACAGAGCTAAACTAAGCTATATTCTTGGTTCTTTCGGTAAAGTCACGTAGAAGGGAAACAATAAAATAATTAAAATATAAAACAAATTTTTTTATTGTTTTATATTAAAAAAAAATATAAAACAATACAATTTTATTGTTTTATATTTTATAAAACAATAACATTTTATTGTTTAATATTTGTATTATTTTATTGTTTCCCTTCTACGTGACTTTACCGAAAGAACCCAGAATATGAATCCCTGCAGTCACGAAAGCTTTAAATCAAATTTTTAACTAAGCGATGTTTATTGCACCAGGTTAGGCCCACTTAGCTTGTATAGCTCTTCTTCAGAAGCGACCTGGCCACCCAAACGAAGTGGCTTATCACGTGCAAATGTATCGCAGCCGAATACTCTACGAACGCACGTTGACTCTAAATGTGGAGGGGAAAACCTGGAGGACCGGGGGATAAAATCCACGCGATCACGGGGAGAGCACGCAACCTCCAAATAGACAGCAGCAGGCGTCAGGGGTGGGAGATCGAACCGACGGCCTCCTGCACACCAGGCGAGGTAGTTAACATCTCGCGATCGTGGCGAGATCACTGCCCGCCGGTGAGCGAGGGACCCAATGCAGCACGTGATAGCCGACTCTGAAGGTTGCCGATCTTTAATAGTCCACCCTATAGACTTCAAGGATACCATCATCAGCAGCATCATCATCACCAGTGGCATCGTCATCTTTGGCAGCAGCAATCAGCAATTGTCACCATTCATTCATTGCATCATAGTATCATCAGCAGTCGTATGAGCAGTTGTAGCAGGAGCAGCAGTAGTAACATAATCATGGTTATAAACAGCAGCAGGCGCATTATTATCAGGATCATTGTCCTCAGCAGCAGCAACATCAGCAGCAGTAGCAGGATCATCATCAGCAGCAGCAGGATCATCAGCAGCAGCAGTAGCAGGATCATCATCAGCAGCAGCAGGATCATCAGCAGCAGTAGCAGCATCAGCAGCATCTGCAGCAGTAGCAGAATCATCAGCAGTAGCAGGATCATCAGCAGCAGCAGCAGTAGCAGGATCATCATCAGCAGCAGTAGCAGGATCATCATCAGCAGCAGTAGCAGGATCATCATCAGCAGCAGTAGCAGAATCATCAGCAGCAGCAGTAGCAGGATCATCATCAGCAGCAGTAGCAGAATCATCAGCAGTAGCAGGATCATCATCAGCAGCAGCAGCAGTAGCAGGATCATCATCAGCAGCAGTAGCAGAATCATCAGCATCTGCAGCAGTAACAGGATCATCAACTGTGTAAAAGTAGGCGAGGATAACGTAGGGAGGGAGAGCAGGGTGGTGGGGGGGGGGGCTGCCTGATCATCACCGCCACGTGCACCGGTTGAGTCGCCCAGACATTTGGTAGCTTTAGCCACTACCTCAAACTCTCACCCAAACAAGAGTAGCCAACCAAACACCCCCCTCTCACCCTACCATACTAACCCTAACCATAGCCACGCTAACCAATCAGACGCGAGCCCCCACCCTACCCTACTAGCACTACCCCTAGCCACGATAGCCAATCAGACACTAGCCCCCACCCTACCCTACTAGCACTACCCCTAGCCACGCTAGCCAATCAGACGCTAGCCCCCACCCTACCCTACTAGCACTACCCCTAGCCACGATAGCCAATCAGACGCTAGCCCCCACCCTACCCTACTAGCACTACCCCTAACCACGCTAGCCAATCAGACGCTAGCCCCACCCTACCCTACTAGCACTACCACTAGCCACGCTAGCCAATCAGACACTTGCCCCCACCCTACCCGACTAACACTACCCCTAGCCACGCTAGCCAATCAGACACTAGCCCCCACCCTACCCTACTAGCACTACCCCTAGCCACGCTAGCCAATCAGACACTTGCCCCCACCCTACCCTACTAGCACTACCCCTAGCCACGCTAGCCAATCAGACACTAGCCCCCACCCTACCCTACTAGCACTACCCTAGCCACGCTAGCCAATGAGACGCTAGCCCCCACCCTACCCTACTAGCACTACCCCTAGCCACGATAGCCAATGAGACACTAGCCCCCACCCTACCCTACTAGCACTACCCCTAGCCACGCTAGCCAATCAGACGCTAGCCCCCACCCTACCCTACTAGCATTACCCCTAGCCACGATAGCCAATCAGACACTAGCCCCCACCCTACCCTACTAGCACTACCCCTAGCCACGCTAGCCAATCAGACGCTAGCCCCCACCCTACCCTACTAGCACTACCCCTAGCCACGCTAGCCAATCAGACGGTTGCCCCCACCCTACCCTACTAGCACTACCCTAGCCACGATAGCCAATCAGACGCTAGCCCCCACCCTACCCTACTAGCACTACCCCTAGCCACGCTAGCCAATCAGACACTTGCCCCACCCTACCCTACTAGCACTACCCCTAGCAATCAACGCTAGCCCCCACCCTACCCTACTAGCACTACCCCTAGCCACGCTAGCCAATCAGACACTAGCCCCCACCCTACCCTACTAGCACTACCCTAGCCACGCTAGCCAATGAGACGCTAGCCCCCACCCTACCCTACTAGCACTACCCCTAGCCACGATAGCCAATGAGACACTAGCCCCCACCCTACCCTACTAGCACTACCCCTAGCCACGCTAGCCAATCAGACGCTAGCCCCCACCCTACCCTACTAGCATTACCCCTAGCCACGATAGCCAATCAGACACTAGCCCCCACCCTACCCTACTAGCACTACCCCTAGCCACGCTAGCCAATCAGACGCTAGCCCCCACCCTACCCTACTAGCACTACCCCTAGCCACGCTAGCCAATCAGACGGTTGCCCCCACCCTACCCTACTAGCACTACCCTAGCCACGATAGCCAATCAGACGCTAGCCCCCACCCTACCCTACTAGCACTACCCCTAGCCACGCTAGCCAATCAGACACTTGCCCCCACCCTACCCTACTAGCACTACCCCTAGCCACGCTAGCCAATCAGACGCTAGCCCCCACCCTACCCTACTAGCACTACCCCTAGCCACGCTAGCCAATCAGACGCTAGCCCCCACCCTACCCTACTAGCACTACCCCTAGCCACGCTAGCCAATCAGACACTAGCCCCCACCCTACCCTACTAGCACTACCCCTAGCCACGCTAGCCAATCAGACGCTAGCCCCCACCCTACCCTACTAGCACTACCCCTAGCCACGCTAGCCAATCAGACGCTAGCCCCCACCCTACCCTACTAGCACTACCCCTAGCCACGCTAGCCAATCAGACGCTAGCCCCCACCCTACCCTACTAGCACTACCCCTAGCCACGATAGCCAATCAGACACTTGCCCCCACCCTACCCTACTAGCACTACCCCTAGCCACGATAGCCAATCAGACGCTAGTCCCCACCCTACCCTACTAGCACTACCCCTAGCCACGACAGCCAATGAGACACTAGGCCCCCACCCTACCCTACTAGCACTACCCCTAGCCACGATAGCCAATCAGACGCTAGCCCTCACCCTACCCTACTAGCACTACCCCTAGCCACGATAGCCAATGAGACACCAGCACTACCCAAGACCCTGACCCAGCCTCTAGCCCTATCCCCCCCCGCACGTCCCCGCCACTCTTCTGCCGGTCTAGGGCGCAGCAGCGGAGAGGGAGAGAGAGGCAGACAGAGACGAGACCCATCCAGCAGTGGCACGCATCGCCCGCCGCGGTGACTCTCCTCCTACTCGGCGAGATGTTAAGCTCACAACTCACGCCCCGAGTAGCAGCCTCCTCGGTCGCAGTTTCTATCACTGACCAACTCCTCCTCCTCCCAACGACACGGGCGAGGCCAATTTCGTGTTCTCTCTCTTTGTTTTTTTCGTATTTTGAAGATATACGGTAATGGTGCAGTATTAGATTCGCATGGTTTCAATGTTATGGCTGTTTGCTACGCAGGTTCTCTCGTGTGTGTTGATAACGACGATGATGATGATAAAAGAAAAATCTGAGTTTCTTTTCTGACACTCCCCCAACTTCCACATCCACCCCCGTCACTTCCATTCCGACCCCCCCCCCCCCTCAACACTAAGCACCCCCCCTCCCCCACTCACTCTCCCCACACCACTTCAATCTCGACCCTCCTCCTCCAACACCGAGTCCCGTCATCCCCGCCCCCCACCCACCACCCACCAGCACCCTCAACCACAACCACCACCCCTACCACCTCTCCCCTATGCATCTCCCACCCCCTTGCCCCTACCCCTTCCCCTGCTGGGTGTTTCTTCTTGATGATGATGATAATAACTATGCATTCGGCTGGATGGGTGTTGTTCTCTGTGACTGGAGGAGGTCGCTGGCTGAGACGAGCGTCTCGTTGTGTGCGCGGTCACTGATTGATGTACCCTCTCTCTCTCTCTCTTTTTTATTTCGAACATTATTATTGTCACATAATTATATTGTAGCGGTCAAAACAACAACAACGAACGAACACTCCACCGGCGTGCGCCACGATTTATTTCCGTCGTCTCGCTCTGGCTCCTCTGCTTGTCGTGGTTTTGGTTGTCCGACGGTGGTGGCTGTGATGGTGGTGGTTCGTGGTGGTTGTGAACGGCACTTGGGAGAGGGTCTTTTTGTCTGTGTTGGTGTGTGTGTGTTGGTGTGTGTGTTGGTGTGTTGGTGTGTTGGTTGGGGTGTGTTTGTTGGTGTGTGTGTGTTTGTGTGTGTGTGTTGGTGTGTGTGTTGGTGTGTGTGTGTTGGTTTGTGTGTCTGTGTTGGTGTGTGTGTGTTGGTGTGTGTGTTGGTGTGTGTGTTGGTGTGTGTGTGTTGGTGTGTGTGTGTTGGTGTGTGTGTGTTGATGTGTGTGTTGGTGTGTGTGTGTTGGTGTGTGTGTGTGGTGTGTGTGTGTGGTGTGTGTGTGTTGGTGTGTGTGTGTGTTGGTGTGTGTGTGTGTGTTGGTGTGTGTGCGTGTTGTGGGTCTTAGTGTAGCGGTTAGCGCGCTGCGCTATGAACCCGGAGACACGGGTTCGATTCCTGCTCACGGTCAACGCCAGTGACGATTAT